TACACCTCGTCGGGCTTCAGCTGCGCAATGAGGTGGTGCAGCACCGTGCCGTCTGTCATGTCGCCGTAGTGGAGCGTGAGATGCTCATTGCGATAGATGTGGTCGATGCGGCCCGTGTTAAAGGACGAAGACCGCCGAATGACGCCGTGCACATCGTATCCCTTGCTAAGGAGCAGCTCCGCAAGGTACGACCCGTCCTGTCCGGTGATACCGGTGATTATGGCGACACGCCGCCTGGACAGTGACGCCATGAGCTCCCCACTTGCTTCCACTCACCCTTGCAGCAACTATTGAGCGCGGTATTCTAAAACAGAAGGAGGTATGGATAGCAGAAGGGTCCCACTGCATGCACACAGACGCCACGGAAACAGCGACAGTCTCCCCCCATTTAACTGAACACATGGAAAGAGGATAGCGCAACACAGCGCCTGGTTTCTCCTTACAGTTGCAGCCATGCATCACCAGAGAAAAATCGCAATGGGGAGGCGTGGCGCACGGAAATAAATAAAAAAATGGCTCTACCCGTGCCTCAATGTAATCAAACCACAATGCGTTCTCAATAGTGAACTAAATAAAAAGAGTATGGGTATGATTACGCACGTCTGTAACCTTACAATTAGATATCGCTGGAGCGCCACCGATCACTCAGTAAAAAGGATCCCCAGCGGGAAGATCCCACCAGATGTTCCTTATTGACATGCTTCAAGACTTCCAGTTCCCGCCATTCTCTCCAACGCGGGGAGCACCAGCGACTATAGGGACAATCGCGGTAAAACATAGCGTAGTGCGCACCAATTTCGCGCTCTTCCATAATTGTAATCATGCCCCAAACGATATGATAGAGACTGATCGTCCATAGGATGTTGTACCAATCAAGATCCTCTGTGATCTTTCCCAAGACTGTAGGCATGTACTTGTTGCCACAGCTGCGGCGTGTACGTTGATACTCCCACATCAGCAATCGATATTGTCGGCTCCAGTGTGTAGCGTAGCGACGCGAAATAATCGTCCCAATAAGTGTCATAAATGTCCAAAGAAAAACGTTGAGGCCAGCGGACTGCCAGTTGAGTTTCCACAATGTCTTTTTGTTTTTGCTCCACAGGGCCTCTGATTGGATAGTTTGGTGTGTGAAGATTATCAGAAATACTGGGAGCGGCAGCAAGAGATGCCGATCCAAAAAGCCTTTCATGCCGCGTCCTTCGCACATGCGGCCTCCCAACACGACAAGGTTACATGGAAAAGTGATGGCAAACACCGCTGCCCCAGCAACTGCAGCACAACGAACGCCACAGCAGAAAGCACACTTGCGACGGGGCTCAAAGTCATTGAAAGTCCCCGGCGAAGAACGCGGGCGTTGGGTCTGCCCGAGGTCCATCCACTGCTCTGAGACGGTGTCTGATTCCCGCCTCCTTCCTACTCACTCTGCCTGTCTCCTTTCCTCCTTTCTGGAACTACAGGAGAAGAAGGGCCCTTATTCCCTTGCTAATTTATTTGTTTATTTTTGGTGCGTCCCGCCGTTGAAAAACAGAGAGGAAACAACAATGCATTAGGGACTCTTCGCATGATAGACCGTGAGAAGGGAGAAGCGCAGATGGTGGAGCACATGGCGGTAGAAAAGAAGCGGCCAAAAAGAAAAAAAAAGCCAACAAAAACAACAACAACAAAATAAGAAGGAAAAAGGATCGTCTTTTGATGCAACTCCTCTATTTTCCCTTCAGGTACTTCCTTCTCCATGCACCTCCACCAACGCACACGCAAAGAGAAAATGGAAAGACAGTGCGGCAGGAGGAGGAAGTCCCTGGCCATCAGAGCGGATCCAAAAAAAAGGGATAAAAAAAAGGACTAAATCATAAATCACTTTTTGCTTCGTATTGGGATGGATGGATGAGAAGAGTGAGGACGCACGAAGAACTTGAAGCACACGTACACACTTCACAAGAGTCCTCAACGGGTACACAAACCGGATTGGCGTAGGCATCACATCAGCAGCAATGAAAAAAGGCTCTCACACAGGAACAACGGCAACAACATCATCCTCTTCACCAGACAAAATAAAGGAGTAGCATCGTCAAAAGTATGCCACCGTACACTAGCCATGCGTCCACTTTATTGCGACGCATAATTTGCAATATTGTCGAATTCGCAACACCAAGAGACTCCAATACGTCTGCAACTTTGCTGCCTGTTCCTTCGAGCCGCCCACCCTGATCCCGCAGTGCTTTCATGACTGAATTGCTTTCATCAAGCATCGCCCGAACACGTGCGCGTGCGTAATGCAGAGATTTTCGCTCATTTTCCAAGTGTTTTAGGGAAGAAAGATCATCTTGACCACCACCGCTCCGCATCGTTCCAAGAAGCTTCTCAACCTCCGAAATGTGCGTCTGGCGCTGTAGTGCCTTCCGCCTTGAACGCTGCAACGATGTATCTATCAAATTGAGCTCGGCAAGCAGCTGCTGTGCCACGCGTCGCTGCAGGTCCGTCACTGCTTGAGCGCCAGCCGCTCGTGCGTGTACATTTGACATTTCCCACATTGCTTGTGAGGTAACAGCGCCATTTGATGGATTAACGTCCAAGCGTCCCTCCGACAGCGCCAGCAATGCTACACGGGCGCTTTCCATTCGCTCCTGCACGTCCTCGTACGGGATTGAACCGCCTTTTTCCGCCTCTGCCACTAGCCGACTAAGCACCGCTACATTACTTTTCGCCTGCCGTAGCTGTTTTTCCGCCGACGTCCCGGACTCACTTGTGTCCATGCAAGGCACTCTCGCAACGGATTTCAAACGCCACAAGCGGCAACAGAAAAGCGAGGACTGATACAATCAAGAAACAAACGTATGATAAATGGAAGAATATTCTCTACCTTGCTCTTCCCGGACATAAGAAAAAAAAAAGAATAGAAAAGAAAAATGTCTTATATTTTTCCCCATTTATTTTTTTTTGAATGGCATGCAGTGTATGTATACGTCCAAAACCAGCGGGAAGTTTCCCATTGACTCCTCATTCTCTATGATCCGCAAGTACGCACACAAAAAAAGTGAGTTTGCAGAAAAGTGTCATCCACCCCGATTCGTGCGTGAAATTTGTAAAATTATTCGCTGCGACAAAATACATGATGAACAACATGAGCATAATAAATATCACTACGTGTATTTACAAAAAGGTTGGTAATGTCAGGCCATTCCTCTCGCGAGCCGTCCTGCACACAAGCACAGAAGACGCCCTTAAAATCCCTTAAGGTCGTACTCTCCAGCTTTACCGTTTTTGTAACACGCATGAACAAATACAGAGAGTTCAAGAAGGATGCGCCCAGGAATAATCTTCTGGTCCACTGGCCCAATCCTGAGTTTCTCAATAATAGAAACCAAAAAAAAAAAAAAAAATAGTATTAAGAAAACTGATGAATGGAATAAGACTGGGGATTCACCACAAACCCAAAGTTCAACAACAAGTAAGTGTACATGTATATGTATGTATTTGTATATGTCATCCGTTAGCCTCAATCGTGTCCAGTTCACTCTATTCGGATGGGACGCATGTATTTATTTATTTATTACATACGAGGTGGCAGACTTTGAACTCCTCCAGCCACAACACCCCGCCGCGTGGTGGGAATCAAAAGGGGATTAGGGTGGGATGGCAAAATAAAACCAAAAATAAAATAATATCTTGCCCCTATCGGTTCCCTGCCGCCCCACCAAAGTCATGTCCTTCGCAATATATTCATACGGTAGAAGAGTGTCACAAAGAAGTGCATTCGTTTTATCAGGATATACATATATGCATTCAATTTGGCAGCCAGCTCTCCCGCGATCATTCTCTTCACGAGCTCCTAATAAAAAAATGGCACGAACACACACACACACACGTCCCTCCAGGTGACGTACAGCGTTCGAACACACCGCCAGCCACAAAGAGTCTGATAAGGGGACGCAATCACACACACACACAGAAAAAAAAACAGCGCAAAAATAACAATACCATACCGCATAAAGACAAAACAAAACAGTGAATGGTCGTTATAAATAGCAGTTCCGTTCAAAATGCAAAGGCAATTGACGAGGAGGGACAGCTAAGCCGACAAAGTAACAAGCGGTCCTGCAAAAACAGACGGCGTAATGCAGCGCAACAACAGAAGACAACACAGAGCTTCTCCCTGTACTTCTGCCCCTCGTCACCGGAACTTTTCCCTCTCCTCCATCCATCCTTCCCTCTCATTTCCGCCTCAGCGCTCGCAGCAATTCCCCAGTGACGCGTTCCCTTCTTCCTTTCGTCTGCTCCCTCGTTTCAGGGCGAAAAGCCCTCGCTTGTTCTGTCATCTGCTGCCTCACCCGTTCGCCACTCCTCCGGCGTCCCCCGACACAGAGGCAAGCGTGAAGTAAATGCCCCACCGCCCATCCACCGCCATGTGCCAAACGAGCACGGAGGCCAAAACAGAGGCACAGTCGCATATTTTTCCCGCAGTTGTGACTGCACCTCTTCGGGCTCCTTTTTCTCTCTCATACTCCGCAAGAAAAAAAAACCGCACGCAAGAGCAACAGTCACGCACATTCCCCTCCCATGCACAGCTCTCCGGACACATTCGTTCCGCCTCATCGCCATGCGTCCGCACCGGTTTCCGTATCGCGGATCTCCTGCTGCACCAT